AAATGTAATTATATAGTTTGCTGCATAAATAGCCTCAAGGATAAGTAGAGTGTGTCAGACATCCATTTATGCATGTGGTAAAGGTTAATACTATTTGTTCTCAGTACATTTAGTCTTTGCAAATCATGTGCTGACATGCATCCCATTTTGATATCTGTTCACACACTCTGGTAATGATGCATAAAGCAGAAACTCATGCCTGTGGCATTCATTAGGATTTAGTAAATTGAACTTTTGTGTAAAGATCTTAGAAAATGGCAAGGCACAAAACGAATGTCACTTGCTGCTAATTTTATCTTCCTTCACGCACTCCTTTCTGGAGATTAAAGCATGAATCAATTCACTACTGAAAGTTATTTCAGCTCACATGGCACATATCGGGATGCAGGAAAGCAAGTACATGTTCACAACTATTCCTTAGGTCTCTCTGCTGGAAATGTAACCTGTTAAGCTACTGGATTTCTGCTTAAAAGAAGTAAAAATAATTAAATAAAGTAATTGACTGGTGAATCTTCATTAAATACAAGTACTGAAATAAATAGTACAGCAAGGTAATTGACTGCGTATGTAAAGTAGCTGTAGATAATTGACATGACCTTCATTTAATGAGCCTGCTTCCCATTATGGAGATGCCTGCCACAATTCCATGTCCTGACTCTAGCTGTAATTGTTGGACTTTATTGGAGTATGAAGTAGGTCACTTTTTCCTGAGATCCAGTCCAGTGGGTGACCTCTTTTCATTGCCATGGCCTCACTGTGCTGCATGAAAGCAGAGAGGACATTCTTGTGGCCCTGAGAATGGACAGTGTTCACAAAGCTGGTCTCTAATGTGATTTCTGGTAGACACACCTCATGTCATGAGGGAGCAGTTTAAGGCTTGCTCTCAGGGAGGCTGATGTGTATCTATGTTGTGCACGTTAGTGGGTGTACACTGAATGGAACAATTGGAATAAGGCTTCTTCTTCTAGAGAGGTCTGCAATCTTTTATGCCCAGAGATGTGGCTGAACAGGACTGCAGAAGGGAAGGGTTGCAGCCTTTACTTGTTGTTCCTAGAAGGTGTGGAGTAGAGACCTGAACCTCCTACACCTGAGAAGGGAGGGAGAATGAGTGTATTGTAGGACTACAGGCTGATGTTGTAATGTCAGTGATTTCTTTTTTTTTTTTTTTTTAATTGTTTGTTTCTGGGTGCACATCTTACTACAAGTAGTCATGGCTGCACTGTTTGTCTGGCATTCAGAAATATTGATGCCCTCAGAACATGTACTATCAGCCAGGCTGCTCCAGTTAAGAAAAAGTCAGCACTGGTGAGCCTCCATGAAAAATAGTGGCTTGGTCTACCAGCGTAGCCTCAGGCATGGATGTACACAGAAATGTTGGGGCATCTCCATGCAAGGCTCTCAGTAGTGGATATGGCCAGCACAGAAAGGATCAATACCTTGCTCAGTAGTAGCAGGTTGGGAAAACAGGAAAATAGTTTTCTCCCATATTCCCAGCCCAGTTCCCCTTCCGCGCAGGTTGGCACACTGACTGGCTCATAATCAGAATGATGTACACAATATGTTAATGTCTGGGGTTCACAAGACACTTAATGTAACAGGACAAGCAGTATCTTTAATCTTTGCAATACAATGAAGGTTTGGTGGTTGGAGAACAGAGAGGAAAAAGACTGGAAGCTGCCATTCAAAGTGTTTCCAGCAACCCTATTGGTGCTACATTGGGATATTAGTCCTCCCTCATTAAGAAAGAGATGAACCATGCTGTTGTGGTTTGATGCTGGCTAAATGCTGGCACCCATGAAAAAACTCTTCACCCATTCTCCTCTGCTATAGTTGAGCATAGCCTCTGGGGGAAAGAAAAGCCAAAGGGGCTCATGAGTTGAGGTAGGGATTGGGAAAAAATGCTTTAAGGGCAAAATAGGCTCAAAACTTAAAAGATATTAAAAAAATCACTTCTGTGGCTGGTTTATTCCCTCCTCATCAAAAAATCAAGCCAGGTAAAACCAACACACATGCATTTGTGTTTCAGTTCAAGAGTAGCTGAAAGGTAAAGCGAGAGATCTTATTCTGCTACAGCATGTTAAACTAGTTGATTTTTAGAAACTGCTAATACAAATTGCTGTGGTCTCTAAAATGAAGCTCGTATTAAATCACTTGATATAGTTTTGCTGCCGAAGATAAGGACTATGTATAGTGCTCAAGTTGCTGTCAAGATAGAGAGAAGAATGTTTTCACATCCTGCTTCTGGAGTTCAGCTTAGTCTGGGGCTCACTTGCAGAGTAGTAGATGTTTGATCTGTGGTTTCTTGCTGGCAATATTCCTTGTATCTGCACTGCTAAAGCTTATTTTGACATTCTGTTGTACAGTTTGAAATGGGAGGAAGAGGGTTGGTTTTTAAGCAGTATCATCAGTATGTTATGTGGGTAATGCTTGTCTAAAAATGGTTGGTTTTCAGAGTTAAGTTGTACACAGTTTCTTGCAACTTCTTGTGAGTGAAGGCGCACAGCTGCTGCTCTGTTTGCACCCCATGCAAGGTGAACAACCCAGTGACAGTGGGGACATGTGCCCTGGTCCAGGGGTTCTTCTCTCCTTTGTTTACCTATCTGACTCAAAAAGCGCTGGTCAGCTTCAGCTGGTGTGCTTCCCTGCTGGGTGCAAACTTCTCCCTGCTCTGTGCTTGGTTGGTGCCCTTTGTGCCCTCTCTCTTGTGCCCTGCGTGCTCAGAGAGACTCTGTCCCACAGGGTCAGGAACTGGCTGGGACCGCTGGGCACTGCTTCCATAAAAGTAACAGGAACTTGGTTAGCAGCCAGAAGATCTGTTTTCTGTTCATTGCTCTGGTGGCCACAAAGTGTGATGTGATTGTTTGGGGTTCTTTTCATTTTGGGTTTTATATTAAACAATTATCTGAAGAGAGAGTGTATAAATATTATTTTTTTGTTCCACTGGCTCTGCATTTGTATGTTAGCTGAGCTACCCATTTCAAGACATGGAGAGTTGTCTCATGTCTCATTTGGTAGAGTAGCAATCTTTTTCTTTCTTTTTAAATCACCTCTGTAATGCCTCTTTTCCTCCCCTTTGAGGATGAAATCTGACACTCCCTGAAGAGTGTTTTAAAAATCCCAACATGAAAAAAACTGCAAAATATGAATGTTCTGCATGGTTAGAGCAAACACTATGTTCTTATGAGTCACAGATGTCAGGTTTGTTTAATCTTAATAAATCTATGCCACGGCAACACTATTAAACAGGAAGAGGGGTGGAGGGATAAAGGAAGAGTTGTGCTGGGTTAGAAAGGATTCTTGACCAAATCTTGTTTAGTGGGGGTCTGGAGATGAGGGGGCATGGACATAAACCTGAACACTTCCCACCCTGCCTTCATTAAGTACTTTAAGGGCTACATTTTGGGCATTGCCTTTCTAGTGCACATTTCTTTTTATTTGTATTTTTTATGATAAATTGCCTTTCCATGTTAAGTCATAAGAGTACACATTTCCCACAGTATATTTGCTGGAGATAAAGTAAGTCTTTTTACACAGCACCCTGTTGGCAAACAGAAATAGGATTTACTCCAGTGAGTGTTGCCAAGTATGAGGTACTTCCAAATGAACTTCAAAAGCTCTGAAACATGCATTAGCTGCTTTTTCAAAAATGTGAACAATGCCATTGCTTTCTAGCAAACAGAACTGCTGAGAAGAGGGATCGGAAAGAAAAAAATAACAACTGGATGTGATAGATGTTGTAGTAGTGCTCGGGATCAGACAGAAGGCATAGCTCTCTGTCACTGCAGGATTTGGGGGCACTTCTTGTAACAGGACTTAAAGTACCTGCTCTGCATTTGAGGAGGAAGCAATTTCTACCTGAGGAGCCTTAGCAAAGCCCTTGGGAAGGAGTTCATGGGAGTTCCGCACATTGGGAGTCCTGACAGGAGTGAGCTGTGCTGATTCCAAGCCTGGTGAGGAATTTCCTTACCAGAACTCCTCTCTGGTGCTACCCCTCCTCTCTCAGTGAGGACAGAGATGAGCATACACATAAACCCGTGACGTGTGCCAGATTTTGGGGCAGAATGTGAGAGAAACAGGCAAACTGCTGTGTTTCAGCATGGCAGTAGGGCTGGTGCTGCTGGTTTTCATGATGGCCTGATTTGCCCACCTGAGAACAGGTGGTGTGGGACCCTGGAGAAGCACAGAGCAGTGGTTCTGCTACTGTCCCTTCAGTGTAGCTCTTCCCAGCTCTGCGTTCCAGCATGTCCTTTCCGTGCTGTTCATGTGGTGCAAGCATCTGTCCAGCTCAACTCTACTGTACTTGTCATGTTCCAGGCCATTTTCTTGTTCTGTATTTATATGTCTATACCTTCTAGGTTCAGATGAGAGACTGACCTGCTGAGACCTCAGAACTGTATGGCTTCTTCCTGTGTTTTGAACATTGCTTTCAAAACACAAATGGAGTTTATCCTCGTGCTGCTCAGTTGTTTGGTTTTTTTTTTTTTTGTTTTGTGTTGGGGGTTTTGTTGGGTTTTTTTTTTTTTTTTTTTTTTTGTGGGCAGAATGATGAACTATTTTCTGTCATAGAGAGATCCTCAAAATCAAGTATTTACATTTGCACTTGAAATGGAAATCTTGCCTTTCACAGCTGTGAAGCTGCCTTTTATTGCTGAAATTTTTTATTGCTAAATAGCAGTTCTGCTTTTGCTGTTACTTGGAAATAGTGTAATTGGTCAATAAATAAGGAGTCTGCATAGTACCTAATCTAATACTTGCTACAGAGATTTTAGTATGTAAGAACTGAGCTGCTGGGATCAGTGTTCCCTGTGTTGCAGCCTATGCTTTTTCTGAAACTCTAAATTAAAAGAACACTCTTTTACAAGAGTATACTTTATCACTGATAATGAGTTGCAACTGCATGCAGAACATCTCTGTAGAAAATGCGCAGTCTTGTGACAACTTGGGTGAATTTTTATTACTCCAAACCTTGTAAGTTAATTTATTTTTCTTGGTTTTTACAGTTCCACCAAGTGAGAAGAGTGATGACCATCCTTTTCTTTACTATGGTTATCTCATACTTCACTTGCATGAAAGCTGCCCCAATGAAAGAAGCCAGTCTAAGAGGACAAGGCAGCTTGGCTTACCCAGGTCTTCGGACCCACGGGACTATTGAGAGCATAAATGGGCCCAGTGCCAGTTCAAGGGGACTGACATCGTTGGCAGACACTTTTGAACATGTCATAGAGGAGCTTCTAGACGAGGAGCAGGACATCCAGCCCAGTGAGGGAAACAAGGATGCAGACTTGTACACATCCCGAGTCATGCTAAGCAGTCAAGTGCCTTTGGAACCCCCACTGCTCTTCCTGCTCGAGGAGTACAAAAACTACCTGGATGCTGCAAACATGTCCATGCGGGTCCGGCGCCACTCCGACCCGGCTCGCCGTGGGGAACTGAGCGTGTGTGACAGCACGAGCGAGTGGGTGACAGCAGCAGAGAAAAAGACTGCAGTGGACATGTCCGGGGCCACCGTCACCGTCCTGGAGAAAGTTCCAGTACCCAAAGGCCAGCTGAAGCAATACTTCTACGAGACCAAATGCAACCCCAAGGGGTACACAAAGGAGGGCTGCAGGGGCATAGACAAGAGGCACTGGAACTCGCAGTGCCGAACTACCCAGTCTTACGTGAGAGCTCTCACCATGGATAACAAAAAGAGAGTTGGCTGGCGCTTCATAAGGATAGACACTTCTTGTGTATGTACATTGACCATTAAAAGGGGAAGATAGTGGATTTGTGTTGTATAGATTATATTGAGACAAAATTATCTATTTGTATATATACATAACAGGGTAAATTATTCGGTAAAAAATAATTTTATGGACTGCATGTATGACTGAAGTTTATACAGTACAGTGGTTACACAATCTATTTATTGAACATATCAATGACCTGAAGGGGAACAATAGTCATTTGCGCACAAGTTTAAACTAACAAAAAAAAAAAAAAAAAAAGAGGAAAAAAAAAAAGAAAATCAAGCGAACAAAAAAGTCTGCATTACATTCCTCCATAACATTGTGGTTTGTCGCCGTTGCCAAGAATTGAAAATATAAAATTAAAAAAAAAAAAGAATGAAATTGCATGCTGCTTCAATTGTGAATTAATGATAAACTGTCCTCTTTCAGAAAAATAAATTGAACCAAAACATTCTGTTTACATTTTAGACAGTAAGTATCTTTAGTCTGTTAGTATATATGTTTACTGCTTCTAACTTCTGATAGCGTTGAAATTAAAACAATGTCAAGGTGCTGTTGTCATAGTTTTACTGTTTCTCTTTTACTTTTGAACTCCCATCAGATTGAAAAACAAAAAATCATTACATTATTCTGGATTAGAAAAAAATTTGGTTTTTGTATGTTGTGAAGGTGTTTGCAATAGCAGTCCGACTACTGACAAAAAATAATAAAAAGAGGCAACTGAAAAAGAATGGTGATGTTCCACTTCACATTGTTGAACTTCAGGCTTAAAGACAACGCTTATTTAACTGTATGGCAACATGCTTTTTTGGTTGTTGGGGGGGGTGGTTTGTTGTTGTTGGGGTTGTTTTTTTTTTTTCTTTTTCAATTTTCTGTCTTTTGAGACATGCATTTGCTTATACCATGTTTGCTTGTATTTGAGAATTTTTTTCCCCCCTTTTCTCACTCTTGAGGGACATTGGTTGTGATCTTTAAGTATTTCATTTACCATAGAACTGGAGCTTGTCATATAGAGAATATTCTATAGAGTTCAGAGCAATTATTTTCATATAATAAAAGACCATGTTTGGATCAAATGTCTTGATGAAGCACGGTGAGAGTGTCACTAGAAAAAGGGTCTAGAAAAGAGGATGGTGGATCTGAAATGAGGCTGATTGTGTGGGGCTTTATAGCTCAGCCAGTTTGGGAACAAGTAACAGAGATTTGGGTTGACTGAGGCTGTCCCAGTTGCAGTCATTACTGAATGTGGTCTGTGCGTTATGTTAGCAAGAGCTGGCCATGTGCGTGGATGCCCTTCCCTCCAGAGCACAGCAGCAGCCCCAGGCCTGCAGAGCAAACTCTGGGGCATCTGTGCCTGAAGAAGCCCTGGAAACCGCTTGAGAATGGGACAGAGAGGAGCTGCTTCCAGCAGAGAGCAATTGGCATTGTGTTCCTGTGGCTCCACCTCTGCCAGCAGACTTACCTTATGAAACTAACACTGGCACTAAAAAGCCACTCTGGAAGTAAGTGAGGAGCAAGTATTGGAGGAGTTGGCTTAGCTTGCTTAGGCTCTGAGCTCTGTGATCCCCCTGTCCTGACAGAAGTATTGCTAAAAAGAGAGATTGTGAGGCTGAGAGCTGTGCACAGCACAGTGGCCATAGTGGGCTAAGAACTGAAATAGCTTGTTAGTAAGCTGACTGGAGGCTCAGGCTATATTTGTAATTCCTGGAGATTAAAAAATAGCTGAACAAGTAGGAGAATGCTGCAAAATATAATCTGCTTCTGAATGCTGTAGAATCTGTGTTCATTAGAACTTTGACTGGGCAAAGCTTACTGAAATATGTTGGCTCCAGTAATGCTCTTTGAAGAGCATATTTATCACTGATTTTATGTCATCACTGGTAGAAACCCGTGCTGGCAGCTAACAGACACTTTCACCTCAGTGATTTCTTCTGTTTTGGGTAGAAGGGCAGCCCCTCCTGAGGATAACTGCCTGTAAAGTGCCAGTGGCCATGTGCACACCAGACTGTGAGTGAGAAGAGAGGGTTGTGTGACCCACCTGAGCTTCAAACTTCAGCCTTTCCCATCAATTGATGATGGGGATTCCCACACAGAAAAAAGAAAACCAAAACCAACCCAAAACCTTATTGAAATTCTCAAAACTTCATCTACAATACTCTTCATGCAAATTAAATAATAGACTCAAAGAAGGTTTTGTGTTGGAAGGGACCTTAAAGATCATTTTTATCATGGGCATGTACATCTTCCACCTGACCATTTCATTCCCCTGGGGTCCCACCTGTGTGTGTGATGTAATTTGCATTCAGTAAACCCAGGGTGACTCAGGAGCTGTTCTCAGCAGTACTCCTCATCTGCAGCAGAGAAGTGCTGTAATGTTGGCTTCTCTCAAAACAAGGGCTGGTTGCTTTGAAGGAAAGGATGATGCTGATGTGTGAATAACAAACAAATCACTCATCTAGACTGGAAGAGAAAAGGTAGTCAGGACCTGACAGTAGTCAAATTAATATACAGGAATCAAATAACAACCAGTTCAAAGAAATTTCCAAAAGAGAAGTGTTAAAGCACAAACCATGCTACAAATAAAGCTCCTTACTTAACAAGGTTAACTGTGGCTATATCCTTTACTTACACATCCTCAGCTGGCACAGTGAGGGTGGTGCAGGTGTCACAGAATGAGGGCAGTGGGATGGTAGGTTCAGAGGGGTGAAGGACAGCCCATGTAGCTGGGGGCACTGAGGGGTGGAGCTCGGAGCCCAGAGAGCTGTGTCTGGCACCTACACCAGAGCCATATTCCCCAGAACATGCCAGCTCTGTGCTCAGTAACTGATCAATAACTGATATTATTGATATTGGCAATTAACCTGCAGCCCCATGACTCTGCCATGCCTGACCTTACATGTCCATGCTCACAGGCTGGGCAGTTTTAGTTAACACAGAGACAGAGAAGGGAGGGTTGGTTTTCCTTCACATCACTTCATTAAACTCTTAATTAAACTTCATTAAACTCTTGCTGTGGTCTGTTGGTGACAGAAGTATTCCATGCATGTCAGCAGGCCTAGTGTTGTGTTAAAGGACTCTTGCAACTGTAAGTTCATGTCTGTGGCCTTGTTTTCTATTATTCATCTTGTGTAACATAAATATTTATTGTATATTTATATAATTTTATGTTTTTTTGAGAAAATACTGAAATTGGCATTAAAATTTAAAAGCAACTGCGTCATATTGTAAATATAATTAAGCTATATTTAAGTGTACTGATTAACATAATATATGTTTAACTAGAGTTTTTTATGTTTTTAAATATATTTTCGAAATACATATATATATATATAAAATGGGGGTTTTTGGGGGACCATGTGACTTTTCTCTAATTGTAAAACAAACTTGAGTTTTACTATAAATATGTGTGTTCTTTGTTTTAAAACAATTTTTACTCTATTTTAGCAATAAAATCTCACTCGGAGGGCAGGTAGCCCCCTGTTTCATAGCTGGACAGTTAGCATTGTGAGGGGAGGGAGAGCAAAAATTTCCTTCTCATGAAAGCTGGGGATATTTGCAGAATGATGTATTTCCATTTCATTCTAGCACAAAAGTCCTCACGAACTAAAAGCCCATGAATGACATATATATGGTTTTACTCAAGTATAAAATAAAAAGCATAAGGGGGTGGGAGTTTCTACCCGTAGTAACTAAGGGATAAGTGAGACATAATAGTACCTGTCATGTACCTGATTTTTAAATGGTTATTTTAAAATGTACCTGATTTTAAATTTATATCTCCTGCACTGATTTGTGACCCCACAGAGTACTAGGGGTGGAATTCCTTGTATTTAACATCTTATTAGCATTTCTAAAACAATATTCTCAGTTACTACTACTGCCAAGCCTGTATATTTAGTTATCCCATAGACCTTTAATAATGAATAAATCCTCATCATGAGTAGAAAACTTTCATATAACTTAAGGAGGGGGGCGGGGGGGAGAACAAACCCAGACTCTTGCCAAAAAACCTATTGCTGCAGATTTTTCAGGAGCCCAGTACCAGCAATATTTCACAAAAAACTGAGGAAATTATGCTTCTGCAGATTGTCACTTCTGTTAAACACACCTGCATGCACATTGCTTTTTTATTGTCATCTTCACATGAGCTAACAGAAGCCGTGATGGATACTGAAACACTTGAGATGTGGATGAGCCCACATCACGTGCCTGTGCCTGCCCCTGCTTCTGCTTGGACCCTGCCTCCTTCCTGAGGCAGCTCAGAGAAGTTTCTTCAGCTCATTAAATGTATGTTGATGATATGACGAGGGAATGATGCCTAGGGAATGGAATGCACACACTCAAAATACATCTTTGTGCTGCTGAGGAAGACACAGGTGCCAGCCAGCCAGCCAGCCAGCCACTCTACTGAGTCCTAGCTCTGGAGGGGAAAACAAAGGTATTCCCATGGCTTTTCTCACTTGGAGAAAAAAAATCCATAGCTAGAATTTAAAATTACTCAGCAAAAAAAAAAATAATAGAAAGCAGTAAAAGATTTTTGAAGAGAAGTGAAGGCTACCCTGAAGTGTAATGAGAGGTGGACAAAGTTTATTTCAGTTTGTCCCAGGTGGATCTAATACATGGCATCCACAAGCTCCTTCCCCTAATTAAGTCCTCATTGAGGAGACACCTTCTGGCAGGTCAATTAAAATGAAAAAGTAATTGATGCACTTGCTTTGAGTAAATATAAAGAGCACTGATGTCTGACCTTATGAAGGAATTGGAGTTGTAAAGTCAGTAAGTGTCTGTAGGCAGTGTTTTGGAAGAGGAGATTTTTTTTTTTCCCTGAACTTTTTTTATACTTAGAGTTTGGTTTTTTAAAACATCTTGCTACCATTTTGAGTACTCAGAGACTGTGGTGTTGCTGTAAATCAGAGAATTTAGGGTGATAGATTTATTTTGATGCCTATGGGAGATGGACTGGAGATAGCACAAGTAATCCTGCTTTTCCACACCAGATCTGGGTTCACCTGTGGAATTTGAAATGCTTTTGGTAAGTCTTTCAAGTCTTTTAAATCCTGTTAGACAGTGGCATAAAGCACTTGGAGGTAAACTGCTCTTTGTCTCTACTGAGCCAAATGGCACAGAGCTGCTGGTTTTTGCTTTGCTGTGCAGTCTCTAGGACCTGTCTGTGACCTGCCCCATCCTCCACACTGAAGTACCGCATGTGTACACGTATTTATCTGGCTGTAAAATCACTCCTGCTGCTGCTGGCGTGCCTCTGTTGGTCAGGCTGTGGTGCTGACCCCATCCAGGACTGCAGCCACCCCACTGCTGCTGCAGGTCCTTGCTCTGTAGGAACAATGTGCAGAGGGAGCAAAGAGAGGCAGTTCCCAGGATTGCCAGTGCCTGGAAGGAACAGGGGCTTCCCTGCAGCCCAGAGTCCTCCCCTGCCTCACTGCAGACCCCGCTGAGCTCATCTGAGCAACAACTGGCAGTGTGCTCACGCAGGGACCACAGGGAGGAGGAGGAGGATTTGGCACGCAGCTGTGAGGCTTCTTGCCTAAATCCCCTCTCCTGCCTCTGCCAGCAAAGGGATGGCTTACAAGAAAGGATATGTCCTGCTGGGAGTGCAGAGTTTTGCACTTCCAGAAACAGCATCTCATGAGTCTGCACTCTGAAAATATTTCCCTTTGCTAGAAGAATCCTTTATCCTGTCCCTTCCTCCCCTTTAGTAAAAAAATCTGGTGTAGCTTAAGCCTACACAGTTCAAAGTGCAGTTCATGTGTGTAAACCAAGCTGCCTGCTCCTCTTATGTTATGTTAATTATAACAGCCTTTAAAACTGCTCACACTCTAAACAGGGGTGCAGGTACCTGGTGGACTAAATATTCCTTCAATTGTCATCTACACTGAGGGATTTTAATTATCTTGAGAAGGTTTCCACTTATAGTTTTCCCTGACCTTTAAAGACTGCTCTGCTAGGAGAATAATTTTTTCTCTAATCCCAACATGGTCCCTCATAGAAGTTCCACTATATTTGGACTCCAACCTTGGGAATCTGTTATTTCAAGGCAATATAAAATATGTGTGACTATATTTCTGATACAAAAATAGTGCTGCCAGTTTACTGCCATGAAACAGTCCAATGAGACCCTTTCTCTTCCAGATGTATGCTCTGATTGGAACAGCTGTAAAACTGAATGGAAGGATGTACCCAAAAAAACTTTGAGAAATATAAAAAGAACAAATCTCATAGCTTTGTTGAGAGCAAAGTGCAGGTGATGTATTGCTGCTTCCCTTGTTGGTAGCAGGTTGAACATCCCTACCTAGGCATTCAGCCACAAATGCATACCTAAAGTCCTGTTTAGCTACAAGAAACTCAAACTGTGCAGCTTTTTTGTTTTTTTATTAGTCCCTCTGGTTTGCTTTATTCTTGGGCTAAGCAAAATGTCTGTCCTTGGTGCCCCTGTATGATGCAGGCCACCTGGTGGACAAGAACAGCCTCAGCAACACAACTTTTTTTTTTTTTTTTTTTTTTTTTTTAGTCACTACATCCCCTTGTAAATTAATACCTTTTTTTTTGCCTTGTGGGAGCTACTGTTCCTGAGGGTAGAGCCAAAGGGATGTGCAGATCTCTGCTAACAGGTGATTGCCAGGGCTGGGCTGCAGCAGGGGGACATGTGGCTGTGTCACCTCAGGTCAAATCACCTCCCAGCTTTTTACAGGTTCTGACCATTATTCCCTTGGGTTTGAGTAAATTAGTCTTGGACAAGCTACTGTCTGGCTGGTCAATTCTGAAGGGTCCAGAGGAACCCTCACCCAGCTGCAGCTGAACTATTCAAAACAGCCATATTGCCTTACGCCTCTTTTCCTGTCAGCTGCCCCTCCTTGCTGCCTGGCTGTGCTGGTGTGGCTCGCTCAGCTCTCCCTTTCAGGGGATATGAGTTCAGGCATGCCCATCCCACCTGGCTGTGCATTCTGCTGAGCTGCACAGGTCTCTGCTGAGGAGCTCTCGTGGCAGGAGAGGGGAGCAGAACTGCCTGCCCTGCCCTGCCGGGCAGTGGAAGGTATCAAACATTTCCTTCTTGGCTCACTGCGGGACAGGACACAGGGTAGTGACCTGTGCTCCAGCACTGCCAGTGGCAGTCTCAGCTCAGCGCTGCAGGAGGAGCAAGCCATGTCCCTGTTTTCAGAAGTCTTGCTGCAAACAAGCTGTCTAGTGAAACAGAAATTCATCACCTGACCTGCCAAACAGCAGCTTTGTTTTCCCAAGGGAAAATAGGGCAAGGGCTTGGAAGAGGCTAATGGAAGAAAAGCATTAGTTTGTGTGTTCCCTTAAACATGCATTGCTGTTAGTTTCCCAGAAAGATAACAATCTTCCTATGGCTGTATGCATCATGGCCTTGAATCAGGTGTTTTATTTCAGTGAGCCTGGCAAGCCTAGGGACCACACAACCCTTTTTGCCAGCTGTTAAACTCAGCTTGCACGGTGTGGGACACAGAGGAAAGGCAGACAAACACATGAAATCCCTCTGTAAATCTGTCAGGTAGGCATCTACAGTTAGCAGTGCTGCTCCTGTGTGTGCCTTCTCTAATTAAACCAGAGATTCCAGGCATAACTCTGCATGTCCCTACTGCTTTGTAATTGTTGCCTGCATGCAAAGTCAGAGGAACAATGAAGATAACGTAGTGCAAGCAATAGTTATATGAGCTAATTAGCCCTGCCTGTCACTGAAAATACTGGATGGGCTGTCTTGCTTGAACTTCCAAGGTAGTATGTTAATAGGAAGAGATCCTGAACTAAAGGGTTCCTGTAGCCTAGGATGACTTTGGGGGTCTGCAATCCACTACCTATGCAATGGTCACCTCATAAATCCCCTTTAAGAAAAACAATACTCTGTTCTGTGCTTCCTAACACAACAGATACCTATGGTTTCTAAGAATTGGTGCAATTTCTCTAATAAAGTATATATCAGGTGTCAAGTAGGGTTGTAACTATGGTGTAATTTACAGTTTGTGCCAGATTAATGAAATGACCACCTCTGCAGTCAGTTGAGTCATTGCAGAACAAAGCTGCAAGCCCAGAGACCTCTGCAAATATTCTTTCTTGGAGCTATTGTTTTTCTCTCCTTTAAATAGGACAATTTTTCCTTAATCACAGAGCCTAATTGTGCCTTTGAAAAGCACAGTGTCTACTGAACTTAGTTGGAGGATTAAAGAGCACTCAACAAATCAATAGAGAATAAGTCTAGCAGAAGCCATTCTGGACAGAATCAGGAGAAACTTGGGATGAAGACTGGCAGAGGAGTAGTCTGGGAGGCAATTGCTATAAAATTGCCCCATTTCCTATCTGGGACTTGGCCACCCTGGAGGTCAAGTATGGGGGCAGCCACATGGTTGGTTGCATTTTGTGTGGACTCCTCAGAAACTTCCTCCTGCAGGGTATGAAGAAAAGGGACCCCGACCCCGCTGTGGCATGTGCCTGGG